CCAAACTTATTCTTTATCCAAATCTTTTGAACAGTAAATACCAGGACATTTATACTTCACATATATATTTTTTGTTGAAAGAACTTACATTGAATACCAGCAACTATGAAATTTTGACTTTGACCCTGGAGATTTCCATCCTTGTGAAAAAAAACTTTAACCTTGGCCATAACTTTTGAACGGTAAGGAATAGTGCTTTCATACTTACATATATGTAATCATTTTGAGAAGACCATTCATAGGATACCAAGAACTCTGACCCCTTGACCTTGGAGTTTGACCCACTTTTAAAAAGCAAACCTTGACTGTAACTTTAAATGGATTAGGGTTAGTGCATGCATACTTTACATAGTTCATCCTTGTGACAGGACCCTCTTTGGGTACCACCAAATCTGTCCCTTTATCCTTGACCTTGGAGTTTGACCTACATTTCAAAATTGGTAACCTTGACCATAACTTCTGAAGGGTTGAGGCAAGTGTTTCCATATTTCACATATGTATTTTTTGTGGCAAGACCTTTCATTAGGTACCAATAACCTTGACATTTTGACCTTGGAGATATCAAGAAATCCCAATAATTTAGATTTGCATATAAGAAAAGTTTAACCTTTGCTATGTTGCCATACAGGGGCATAGGTGTTTCACAAACACATCTTGTTTGAATTGTATTTAATTGATTTACTTAAAACAAAAATTTATTTACTAAATCAAGGAAAATTCATATCAGTAATTACTTAAATATGGTAGTCTAATCACTATTTGCCTGTGAGGAGGAGTTATCTTTCTTCTAAATATACCTTCATGTGAAAAAATAGTCACACTAATAAAAATGCGATATTAAGTACTTGAAATGTTTAACATTTTTAAAACGGTCCTTAAATAGATACAACTTATTCAATTTTTAAGACTTTCGAAGTTGGGATCAAATGTTATATTGTTATATATAATAAAACAATTACAAGCAAACTGGCAAAAGAAATAGAAAGTATTATTGTTTCCATCAGAAGTAGATTTCTTCTATTAAACTATTCAGAGGGGCCAAATAGGGAACTCTAATAAATAAATCTGTGAGTAGTACTGACATGTCAGAGGGTCGGTACCTCGCAGTGTTTCTAGTAAATAATGTCGATTTTAGTAAATAGAAAGCATATTATCTCTAAATTAAGTAATAATAATTTAACAAAAATGAGTAGTTCATTTACTAACTTAAAGTAAAACAATTCCTATAATTTAAGTAATTCTATTGATACTTATTAAATCATTTTATAAGTAAATGAATTCATCCTTATTACTAATTATGTTTACAATTACTAACCATGATAGTCATTTACTTGCTATTCTGACTAAATGGATTACTAATAATTACTAGTTTTTCTTAATCTAATATCTTATTTTAAAAACAACAAGTAAAACTTTTTTTAGAGTGAAGAAGTATGGAAACAACAAAAATTAACATAGCATGAACAATTCTAGGAGGTTACACAAAAGTATTGTTTTCTTTTATGAATAGTATTATTTTTGTTAAAGCATTATCAATTGAGCAATTCTTTGTGAAAATGCAAAGGGAAAACTCCTACCAGCAAACCAACAATTGAAGCAAAATGCTGTCTGATATGTGATGAACTTCCATTGGCAAATCGTACTCTCTATTAACAATACCTACAAATGTCGTAAATATTAAGAAATCTTTACATTAATTTAGATATCATTCATTCGAAAAAGATTGCTAGTTGTATTTTGTATAATCTGGTAAACATTCATTCAATACTGCATGTTAGCTTTCTTTAACTGAAATCTTATACATAAATATCAGATGGTGTAGCACGCTTCTTATCAAAATAAGCCAATTATGAAAGAGTTTAAAGATGTGTAGCAGAATATGACGAGGCATATAGTTCCATCAAAGTTATCAAAAGATTCCGGCAAATGAACTAGAAATGGACACAACTGTGTAACGTGCAGACCAAACGAAGGACAAAAGTGACCTCAGAAGATTAAGTAAATAACAGTGTGTCCGCAATAGACACATAAATGACGATGTCCCAATGTCGTCATAACTGACGCATTTATTACTGACGTATTAAATTGTTCAGGAAAGAATTTGTTGATTTTCGTCAAATCTGGAAATATTCCTGACCAAGTGCAGTCGTTATCGTTGGATTTGGTCAGTTACAAAAATGCCTATAGTCATTATATATTACGCAATACATATATTACCAAAGTATTGATGCTGAGCAGTGTCTGCTAAGAGTTCTCTAATCCTTGCAATTGATTGACTGTAGCCTTTGTTCTGGTGGAAATGCAATTTGTCGGTAAATAAAATCTGGGCGCAGTTTTGCACCGTAAAGCGCAAATGTTGCATGAACCATTCCAGTCCAGTGTCACTGCGTTAGATTTATCAGCGTCACAACGAGATGCCAAGTTTCGAAAATCTAAATGTTAAGCTTATTACGGTCACGGAATCGTTCCCACAGCTGTTAGACTTGAAGACTAAGAGCGATTCAATGTACATTTTAGATGAACAAATTGAATATCTTACTGACGTGACGTCACACGCAGTCGTCGAGAAGGAGGATAGTTGTGAGAGCCTCCAAGTTGAGGTCGCACCCTCAGAGCGATTGTATAGTATTCCTATGCACATCAATGTGTTCTGCAACTTTGCTCTCTTTTATATCAGGCCTCCAGTACACAAGTGATACGAAATTAAAAAGCTTCATTTAGAAAAGAAACAATGCATTAATGATTTTTGTGGTATTATATAAATGTAGCCAACTATAAAATTTCAAAAAATGAAATAAAATTACAGTTCGAAAAATAATGCAATAAACTAGGATCTAAATCAAGTCTTTTAAAAATATTTTTGCAAATCCGTGATTTATGCGTATGCATACAACAACCTAAAGGTTTTTTTCATATTCTACCCATACGAAATGAATAAGTTATGTGAGTAAAATTGTTATCAAAAATTAAAAGGTACAATTTATGTATTAGATTTTGTAATTTAAACATTTAATTACAGATATGGATTGGACCATAGGCTATGTAAGCCTTGAAAAGTTCTTTCCAAATTATAAACAAATTATAAACACATATAGTTAGTAACAATTTTTATTATTGATTAATAAAAGAATTCTTGAAATAAGCAAAAATTGCATTTGATTGCATCAACAACGCATGCATTTTTATAGTATTGTTTCATTCAAATTGATTAGTAAATTTTCCAATTTAATATATGATTAGCAATTTGTTAATTCTATAATTTTGGGGGTCGATTTTTTATTAAGATGAATTGGTACTATAACAATAATGAACCTAATGATTGAAAACATTTCAAGCTTCACATGACGTGTAGAGAAAAAAAATTATAAGGTCCATTTATATTCGTTATGTGAATATATTATGCAAATTAAATTCACTTTAATGCACGAAAAATTTGCTAAGGATTTTATCGATATTGATTTATTATTTAATTTTTTTTACCAAATAAATATTAGCTATCAAATATTGAAAGCTAGAAACATCAAAGGTTGTTACTTCAATATTTTAAATATTTACTTAAGCAATGACTATTTATAGATTTGTTACCGATATCACACCAAAAGCTTTAAAGGAGTTCACAGCCTACCTATGAATGAAAAAAAAACCACCATCCTAAATAAAATCTCAATGACTATAAGTGTGTGCTTTTTTCAATTGATCTAAAATCTAAAAAAAAAATTAAAACTTTTTAAAAACAATCTCATGATGTAATGAGATGACGAAAAAGTCCCTTTAAACCATACATACTGGGAACAGAGCAAACACAGACTGCTAAATACATGCAGTTAAGAGTTTGGTTCAGGTGCAATGCAGAAGTAAGCATCCCCTTCTGAATGGTCTCACCTAGCCTGTGCTCCAGGAAAAAAAAAATTATGGACAATTCTTTGTGTTAATTATGGTCAGAAAAAAATGTCATCATGATAGACTGTATTTGCTGAAAAGGTCAAAGTATCGAGCGTGGAACTTGCGAAATGATGACTTAAAACGAGACTGTTGATATCCATGCTTCATCAGCTTGTTTGTCAATGGCTTGCCTCGTCTTAAACAATGGTCGTATGTAGAGCATTTTTCTTTCTTACAGAATGAACTGGGAGATAAATCAATCCCACTGGTAGGTGATATTTAAAGGAACATCTATTGTTAATGGATAATGCGTCGTCCATGGACCCCTAAATTCAAAGGTGAAGGCGTTTCCTTCTTCTCATTTAAATTTAAAATATATATATTTGGATTTTAATAGTTAAGTATAAAAATAATATGTCATATAATGAATGACATAAGAAAAATATGGATTTATTTGATTAATTTCACTTTAAAATAACATGGACTTTTCAAACCACTATAAATCTCTAAATCTGTTGTTGTTGTTTAATTTTACTTTATTTGTTGTTTTCCCAGTAAAACATGAACTATAAAGAGATATGAACGTGATTTTGTGAAGAAATATATCATTGATCAGTTAGACACGCAAAATACGTTAAGGTGGGAACAAAGACGTACAATCGGTTGTAATATTTGTAGAAAAGTAAAAACGTAAGTGTGACAACTGCGAGAAAATCGTGGATATTCAGTACAATCCCCAAACATTAGATGTTAGATATAGATGCACGTATACATCCTCTTAATATTACACAACAAAACAAGAGAAGCATCTTTTTTCTGAAAATAACATAAAAATGATTTCAATGTACGAATTCAAGTGAAATATGGACAGAAGTCAAACCACATGGTTTTTCTCACAATCCACTGAAACAAAAGAACTCAGACACGATACAATGGAAACAAATGACGTATCGAACAGAAGACAATAAGCTGCGTAAAGGTGGGTCTTCGAGTTAATTAAGACAATTAATTTAACTCTTAACATTTCGTATCGATTTTCTTCGGCTTTCTGATTTTAAAATCCCATGTATTCTGTTTAAGATATTGAGGTTCACAGAGAATGAACAAAGTGTTTAAAAAGTCTTAGCCACCGGGACAGTTGTGTTTTCAAAGGCATAATCTTTTGAAAGAATAATAATTATCTTTGGGTTGTAGTGCAAGTTTGCAAAACTTGACCAGCGGTTAACTGACAACTCGCAAGACCGGAATGAACTTTCATTATGCGTTTGTTATCGTTATAGATATTTATTTTGAACTGACTGCCCACGGTGTAGAAAAAGATCGAAATATAACCTCACGGGGATATCCGAACAAAACTGATACAAAAATAAACTAGACCGACGATTACTCTGACTCAATTGTGATATGTGAACGATGAATTTGGATTAATTGAAGATGTTTAAATGTGAGAAAATATGATCGATTGATTTGGGATCAGTTTTTTTTTTCTCTTGTTTCATGTCGTTGAGGATCAGTGAGAAATTGACACAAACAGCTGATTAATAATCCTGAGATCTTTAAAAGTGTTGTTCTTGAAATCATTTTTGTGTGATTTGTTTTTAAAAGCTGTGTTACATTTGAACATCCATTATGTGATTTGAGATCTCTTTAGGAAAACAGAAGTGGGTAAGATTTTTTCTTCAAAATTTCTCTCAGCTAATTATATTTTTTCCCTTTCGTTGTATAATTGATTTCACCCAAAATTTTGTTTCCATGTGATTTACTATATTTTAACATTTCCTCCTTAATTCATCCTCTGTATTCCATATAAATATGTATCATTGATTATTAAACTCTCTGAGTAAAGATGATAATAAATGTTTTATGTGAAGTCTGACCTGAGAGACATAGCTATCCAGTATTCCCAATAGGCGGATATAGAACTATATTGAATAATAATCTGAAATCGTTCTTGGCACACTTCTTATCCCTAAGACAATGTTTAAATTGTGTGATGGACATCTATGATTGTTATCTGTAATGTTTACTTGATCCGTATCTCACTATGCCCCCAGGATTAATTTTTACAATCGCCATTCACTCGGGCTTGTGTGAAATTTATATGTACCATTGAAGGAAATATTATCAATGGCATTGTGATTATCTCTGTCAAAAAAGGAATACATATAGTTTTTCAGTTTGTATTAGAATCTGTTTGTATTTCAAACGTGAGTACATATTATTTTAATTTTTTTTCATTTCCTGCGGTGAAAAGGCAATCAATTGAATTTTAAAACGTACTGTTATCATATATCCTAAATAAACATCCATGAATGAGAAACTCAATTATTCCATGTACATTGTATACCCTTTTACTTTTAAAGTCTCAAACTCCCACCAAACTTTTGCCACTTTTATTCAATACTCCTTGTAACAATGATATCCATAGTATGGCAGTCTTAATTTAGCACCTTTTTTAACGAAAGACTTTACATACCCTTTGTTCACATAAATTTTAGAATTTAACGGCTCCTTCCATGGACAAATTCTCCGAGACTCGGACCTACCGATCGACCCCCAGGAACACCTGTCCCAGTCCAAGGCGTGGGACCCCCGACTCTAGCAGGAATGGTTCCCTCTCGAAGACGCAGCAGTTCCTGGCAGCACCCGACCACCACAATGGTCTACTTAATCATGGGGAGGGAATTCACAGACGAAGGTCTTCAATTGCTATGCGTGCCGCTAAGGTAAGCTTTGTACATGTATATTATAATTCATATCAGGTGCTTATCACAAAACATATCTATTTGAAAGCCTCTTACAGCTTCACCGATGCAAACTCGAGATATATGATTAGTGTAATAAATGTGTGATTTTATGATCTTTTTTTCAGTGATTTCCTGTGCAATAATTCGATTTATCTATATAAAATAGTTCATATTGTAAACATTTTAATAATAATTTTATAAATTTGATAGTTTCTTTAACAAATATTTTAAATATAAAATAGTTCGAGAGATTTTAAATAGCTTCAAGAATTGTAGAACAACACATTGCCAGCAGTTATTAGGAACATATGCTGACGTCCCTATTAGAATTTTTTATGTTTATGGAGATGCCACCACTTGCCGATGAAGGGATCCGAATTAAGACCAATACCCGGAATTCAAGGTCCCTTGATTAGTGATAAATCTTATTCTAACCAGCACATACTGCGACAAGGGACTTCAGTTTATACGGTCTCGTCCTAAAGACATGTTTTCATATTCCTTAGTGGTATTAAAACCTGTGACGTCATGACCAACTCTTTATTCCGCGACTCTAAAGCATACGTTCTAACAATTGCGTCACAAAGCTGACTATACTGAATGATGATTGAAGGACTGGAGAGGTCACTAAATGACAGAAGCATGCCATTTAGTCACATTTCAATAGACTTTCAGACATCTTTCAGTTAAATGATTGATGGTTTGATTGCTTTTTATGTTGTTTTGGGTCCAATTCAAGAACATTTCACTCATATAGAGATGTCACATATACCGATGAAGGGTTTCTTTTGACCTTTACTCGGGACTTACGGCCATTGAGCAGTGAGGGATCGTTATCGTGCCAACGCCTGCCGCTGACACAGGGCCTTGGTTTTTAATGTCTCATCTGAAGGACCCTTAACTTTCACTTAAAGGTGCCGAGCGCATGGCGAAGGAACAGTTGCCTCCTATATTTTAAAGACTGAGGTCAGTCGCGTCAATATACCTTCATCACCTGCATAGGGAGTTTATATAGCTCAGTTTATTCGATAAGCAAGAGCATGCTCTACATATGAACAATTTCTAAAACGAAGTTATTGACAAACAAGTTGATGAAACAAGAATTTCAGCAGTCTCGTTTAAAGTCATCATTTCGTAAGTTCTATGGTCGATACAATGACCTTGTTAGCAAATACAATTTATCATTGAATCAAACGCTGACGGATGTTTTTCATACTAATTGTTAGTCCGTTATTTATATACTGAATTGACGACCGATTTTCCGTTATTTCCCGATCATTATAAGGAGCACACAGCGGGTGTAAGCGGTCGGCAGGGGGTGCTCACTCCTCCATGGCACCCACCTCACGATCCCACTTCTGATTGGAGGACCATGTTTGCTCTGCTCCTACATGTATTTTTTGAGTTGTTTTATGGACTTTTGGTCTTGAATACTGTTCGTTATCTTCATATGTTTAATTCGAACCCATGTCCTACCGAACGCGGAGCAAGCGCTCTACCGATCGAGCTACCGTGACACTTTTTTAGACATGAATGACAGAATGGTATCCTGTGTGAAAACAAGTACATAAAGCAGATAAGTCTTTAACCTATAGCAACACATTGCCCTCAAATTTTGACTCTAAGGTGAGAAGATGCAATAAATTCTTTAGTAGCTTTAGAATACATATGTACAGACGATTGACGATGTCAGCAACAGGAGACGCATTTTATGTAGTTGTCGTCAGCAGTGTCATTTTTCGGGGTCATTTTTATGGGGGGATTACAATAAAGCCGTGCCCATATATTTGATACAGCGCTGACCGGTACTTAAAGTTTCTTGCCCTCTCTGAATGTTTTTTTTAGTATCTGATACTTTGCTTTACAATAACGACTTGTATTGGAAGAAGGCATTTAATATATAACACATATCCGTTGTAACAATGTTTACAGTAGGCTTCATAACTTCTTTTAATTAAGGTAAACAGTAACATCTACACGTGGATAACACTTTTGTGTATTCATTAGATATCGATTATTATAAGTCCCGAATATATGTAAAATCTTATATGTTTATCCAAGGAAATGGAACATAAAAAGCATACGAAATTGAGCATTAAATTTCCTAAAGTATTCAAAAGCCCAAGGAAAATCTTTTCAATTTCAAAAATAAAATCTATCTGGACGTAGAAACCCAATGATGCCAAGGCTAGTTCTGGCTAATTATATATAATGAATCCATAAAATGACAAAAAATAAAACTTAAAAGCCTTCATTTTGGGGGAAACTTCGTAAATTGTCCTAAATAAAATTTTTAAAAAATCAATCGTGGCATGTTTTAAGTGGATTGAATTTTATATTTGTTTTAGCCAGACAATGGACGCTACATAATGACATGCATTAGCTGGAAATTCTGAGTGTGTAACTAAAGCCACTAAACAATTAACATGAACTAAACATTAGGGGGAAATCGTTACGTCCAAATCTAAGGGGATGGTTCATGTTTATGCTTCATTTCATCATTTTTTTCACGACTGGGAATATTTGATATATAACATGCTTTATAAACCAAACCCCCAATTCATTTACAGTCTTGTGTTATTTTTAAAGATTGATTTGAGACGTTTCAGTTTTGAAGTGAATACTAGTTTAGTGCTATCAGTTTTAGAGAATCTAATTAGCTCCAAACCAGACTTCAAAGAGATCAGTGGGTTATAGGATCACGCATGATCTTAATTCTTAACAAAACATCCAATAATTAACAATTCTAGATTAGGAATCACCAAAGACTCTTACAGCTTTTCAATTCTATAACGTTGAAATTTGAAGAATTTTTTTTTTTTAAAGTACAGTATCAAATTGCAATATCCTTCATCCGTACAATATTGGTTTATTATCATGCCATTCCTATATCATTTGTATTGTCAAAAATGGACTGCAATTTCAAGGGACATTTTAGCATTTTACATTTCCTTATTTTTAAATTTCAAGGGACATTTCAGCAATTTTTTTTTCAATTTATAGATTCTTAAGTTAGTTTTTTTCTGCATTAGTAAACCAAAAGAAAAAAAATATCAAGTATACTGTTAGAGATTTTCTTTTTAAAAGATTTGAAGAATGGCATAAACGTCAATTATACTTAAAAGTAAGACCTTGGCCGCATCTACAGTACATCTTATGAGTTACAGACAAACTTGTGTATTACTAAGACATGACATTTTTCTCTAGACGAACTTTATGATCGAGCATTCGAGCACCTGCAATAAATTTTCCTCTCCAGAAACACAAGAGTAGTTCGTGCAATACAATAAATTATCGATGAGTGCGATCAATCAATGAAATTACTTCCGGTTGTGCATCCTTTAAGTTTTATCAGACAACTTTTCTTGGGCTCACCGAGTCTGTGTTGTTTACATATTACAAGGCTTTTGACTCAATTACGTCATCAAGATGGTGAAGTCGGAGTCCCCCTTTGAATTGAGAGATTCGTGTATGTTCCCTCCACAAGTCCTCTTTGTTTTCCTTTAAGTACATACATTACCCCCAATGTTTACAGATCAATCTCAGACTGTATTTAACACATGGGTAATTAATAAATGCAAACCGTGAGGTCCTTCTAACGATACTTGATGACATCTCCTTCAACCAGCCATTATGGACAAGAAATCATACAAGAAGAAAGAGTCGTGTTTTCATCAGCTCTATTTCTTTGCGTCCCATTTAGGCCATTAGAAGAGTTTCAGACACTTAGAAAATTACAAAATCAGAGATGAAACATTTGTTGGACGACCTTGACTTTACAAATTGACCGATGTTCACCTACTTTATGTAGTTTTTACTGCACTTATATTTTTGTGTTAATTGTATTCCCGCACTCTTACTTTGAAATTGCAAAAACAAATATACAAAAAAAAAATACAACGATATATAACTTTTGAGACTGCCGTTCAATTTCAGAAGAACTTAATTTGCTTCGACCTTATCCCTTATATTGTATGATCAACATTTTGTAAACGATGTAAACGAATATTTTACAGAAAATGAAAGTAATTTCGTTGCTGAAAATGCTTGTAAGTGTGCAAAATTATTATCAAAGCAAAGCAAGATGAATATTTTTTTTAAAGAGTGAAGTTCTAAATCTTGAAATGCTTTATTCCTGGGATAATCAAATTTGAGACTTTTGTGATTTGTTTGTATTATAAGGCTGTGGAAAATGTTGCACGTCGGATGTCAACGCCCAGTTTCTCTATCGACAAAATTGAGGAGAACTTGGACAAAGAAATTAAAGAAGAATTGGAAAACTCGGAGGCGAGAGGAATACGTAAAATGTAAGTTAGAATTATTTTTTTATAAACTTTAATAAACTAAACTTTGTCCTGGTAGTGAAAAAGTTCTGGTAAATCTACAAGAAGTAAGCCCTATTTACAAATACGTCTAAAAATTAAAATTCTTAGTAATAGTATCAGAAGATAAATATTTGTACAATGAAATTTACAGTATTATTAAATGTTCTATATATCCGAGTCCTGTCAGTTTGACGACATATATCAACTATGAAACAGATTTTATCGCATAGTATACAGAGGGTTTAGACATAGTATACATACTATGCCGAAAAAAGTGCAGGATTTTCTTTTCTAGTTAAAATAATTTGCACCCATGTTATAATAGGACTGGTTATACCAAGAACTTAGTCCAAGGAGCCACCAATTACGCCTGTTTAAAAATTCGATTTCAAATACTAGTAAACTACAAACAATATGATTCTGTGAATAGGACATAGACCAAATCCCTGGAAATCAGGTGCCCAGAAGGAGTAAACATCCCCCGTTTAGCGGTCACAGCCGTCGTGAGCAATAGCTGGTCACACCCGCCGTGTGCTCCTTGACATGATCGGGAAATAACGGGAAAATCCGTCGTCAATTTAGTGTATAAATAATGGATTAAAAACTATTTGAAAAATGTCAGTCAGCATTTGACTTGATGAAAAATTTTGTATTTGCTGACAAGGTCATTGTATCGATAATAGAAATAGCGAAATGATGACTTTAAACGAGACTGCTGATATTCTTGTTTTATCAACTTGTTTGTCAATAATTTACCTCGTTTTAAAAATTGTTCATACGCAGAGCATACTCTTGGTATCGAATCAACTGGTATATATAAACTACGTATGCAAGTGATGAAGGTATATTGCTGCATAAGTCTGGGAAGTTGACAATAGAATAGTTAAAGTCATCACGTTTATCATAGAGCTTGCAATTTAGATTATTGATAACCATAAACGTCTTTTTAAAGTAAAATATCCAAATATGAAACAGATGTGTCAGACTCTGTGGTATCTTTTATCTCAAGCTCACTGGGATATGTCTAATGGACATAAGAATGGAAGTTACCATTGTTAATTAACAATACGTCGTCGATATATCGAAATGTCGAGTTGAAGGCAACAGCAAGGTTTTCTTTTTTTCATGCATAAGATTTTGCACAAATTCTGCTTCAAATGACTACAAAAAAAAGGTCTGCTAATAACGGGGCACAATTCGTAACCAATAGGAAATCCGATAGATTGTTGGAAAACCTGTTCTCCAAAAACAACATAGATATTGTCAATGAAAAACTCACGCATCTTTTTGATGTCAACTTCAGAGTACTTGCGTGTACAATCAGAATGTTTTTAACAAAATAATTTTGCAGATGACCAGTGACAAGGTAAGTAAATTTACAAGTTCCATTTTTATTGAAAAGGCAGCTGTAATTGATATCGGAAAGCCTTGATTTTAATTTATCGCGGGGAATCGTTGTGTATCAAGTTGACAATTCGTACGTTTTTAAGCTGTAGATTTTGGTAAAATCTTGTGATTTCAAATTGTCCAAATTCCTTGTGATTGTTCAAGTTCCTTGTGATTTTTAAGCGTCCACATTTCATTTGCACCACTTATATATAATGTTGCACACTTTTCTTGAAGTTTTCTCCTTCACTACTGTTAATATCTTAGTGAGGAGTAAAGAAATAGGCTTGGTTGAATATTTACCAGAACCTGCTATATGTATATGTTTGTTTGAAAGGATTCTTATGAATCCAATGCAATATACATATATTAGTTCAGATTCGTTTTGGTTCTTTGGGATATTAAAAATATTCAAAATTGACATATGATTTTGAAGAATTTTTTCCTTAGAAAGGGAACTATGAGTTTAAGTTGGATTACCTCCTGTAGAATTAAATCCAAGTTCTTCTAAAATTCAATTTATTAAATGAGCCTTACAAACAACGATAACGTTTTTAGTCTAGGGATGTCAAAATTGTCAATAATTAATATTCGAATATTCGATAGTAGTATTCGAATATATTCGAATATTCGATAAAATAAATACATTTTGCATTATAATATGTATATATCTTCACTCTTTTGTCAAGCAATATACGTTTTTTGTCATTATTTTGGAATAAAATTTCATGTAGAGTTTTGTAAATGCACTTTAATTATATTCTTAAAATATTTTACAGAATATATGAAGAGTTTACATCCAAAATATAATAAAAAATAATTTCCCCCCAAAATTCAAAAGATTCTTTTAATAAGCTCCAGATTAATTAATCGTCTTACCAAAGTGTACACTGATAACCCTACAGATTTATACCACGCAGAACAATTATCTAATGGAGAAACATTAAATGCAATTACTTTTAGCTAATTAATTTCCTGATAATTATTTTAAATGATGTATACATAAACAAGGGATCCATGTGTGTTACTTAAAAAATGTGTCCTTTCAACAATACAAACTAATTCTAAGTACTGGACACTGTTATACCTCTAATTAAATGATCAAATGAATAATTTATATTTTAATAAACACACTCTTCACACCTTTAAGGTAATCCAAGAGGAGTGTCTTTTAATTTTGTTTTAAATTAAATCTTATTGTTGGTCAACGATAAGAATTTAATTTAATTTCTGATAAGCTTCCGTTTTTGCCATTTTTTTCTTTTTTGATGCTTGTATACTTAAAATCCGAATATTCGAATCATAATTTTACATTCGAATATCAACTCATCGAATGAATATTCGAATATTCGAATATTCGTTGACATCCCTAGTTTTTACATGTACCTACTTTGTCAGCAGGGGCCGTTACGTACTGATCATGTAATCTTTCTAATTCTTTTTTCACTTCTGGTTTATTGAATACAGAAGGATAGATGATTTTCATATTGCCCCTCAATCTTTTAATACTTTAAGGTCACAGGGACAAATCTAATCGACAAATAAATGGAAATAATTATACGTAATTAATTAAGCACCGTCAATATCTATAAATATCGTGTTAAGGCCAGTGTAAGTGTTTTCTTCCTCTCATGAATTGATTTTGCTTTAAAGGAAAATAAAAACAGGTTACTTTTTTAAGAAACACAATTAGTGCCCATCAGGATTTCAGTAGTTTGATGGAAGATTTTGTTTCCAAAGACTTAAATGTTGATTACGAGAAACTCCAAAATGTTTTCAATTCAACTCTAGAGGTTTCAATTATGCGTAGAATCATAGTGACTTTTATCAAAGTAACTTTGTTAATGACCAATCACAAGAAATGAAGATGTCAGTGTTTATTTTAATTGAAGAAGCAGTTGTCTATATCAGAAAGCAAAGTCTGTATTGTATATTTTTGAGGAATGATTGCGTAAAGTGTAGAAACGTCGTACGTTTTGATGTTTAAGGTGTTGAAAAAATTGGCAATATTAAATTTTCTAGAGGTTCTTTAGAGTGTTTGAGGGTCCACGTCTGATTTACACAACTGTAAGAATTTTCTGTTGCACAGTGCCTCTGAAGTTTGTTCTTTACAGCAGTTGATATTTTGATAAAGCTATAGGCTTAGTAGAGCATTTGTTGGACCCGGCAGAATATCTCTGTTTGTAAGGAACAATGAATGAAAATTAGAAATCAAGTTTAGGTAGGGAGGATCAAACTCATCTTGTTTGTCTGAAAAGTTAAAAGTATGAAACACTTATATTTGACCTTGAAGAATTTCTTTCTTAGAAAGTGCAGTGCAAGTATATGTAGGATTTTAAGACGTAGAATTCTTCTAAACTACAATTATAATAATTAGCATTACAAACCAAGATGATATTGTTACCAGCCTTGTCTACTGGGACCATCACATTTTGTTCATGAAGTCTCTCTAATTCTTTTATCAATTCCTAACATTAAAATGGTGGGAAAGATATGAGTCGCATTCTTAATTTTCGCATACAGTATGATTTTTGATAAATTTTAAAAACATTAAATCCACTCTGAAGAACTTTTCAGGTCTTTCTTAACGATGTTTGTCAAACTCGAAATTAATATTTCAGCAAAGTACATTCAAATAATACAGCTACTACATTAAAAAGTGATATTGCTTCAATCAAAGTAATAAGGAATAAATAGTTTTTAAAATGTAAATACGAAGGAAAAATTGAAACATTTTGCCACCAAACCTTCTAAACTGAAATTTTTGGTTCATATTCCTTGGAAAAATATAAAGGAAAATGCCATAAACAATGCTATTTGTAACATTTGTTAGGAGGCTTTCATGTGAACTCTGTTTGATAAATTTTGCTAACTTTTATTGATGAAAATATGTAATGTGATTTTAAAAAAAATAGTTGTTACAAATGCGCAATTATTCACAAATGTGTTGTTAGATGAAAAATTGTCAAATGTTATTAAAAATCTCCTTAAAATATCTATTCGAGCTTCTTAAATGTAATTTATTACCGTCCAGCGATCATAGAAAAAAGATTAATCTTTACATTGAGAACGATAACCTCGATAAAAGGGAATATTTTTTTCAGCGTATCACTTAAAAAAAGCTACAGCTAGCAGTACTGCTTTCTAACTCGATTAGACATTATCGATAGCGAAACAGAAAATATACCATTATCTGCAGGTCCGCTCTACATCTGGGACAGCGAACCTCTAACCAGATACCACAATGACACAAACATTATAGCAATGTTCCATAATTACGGTCTGATATTGAGATCGGTAAACTGATATCAAATCGAGAGCGTTTTATGAAATTAATACAACCACATGACACGATGTTAGCTAAAGTAATCAAATTTTTATGACTTTATTCCAAGAAGAGGATCAATTTTTCGCAGCCTTCTCTGCCATTTGTAACATTTGTTTGGAAGGTTTCATGGGAACTCTTGAGAAATAATAAAACAAGAGAAATTGTACGCAGAACGAATGTTAAAGACACAGAGCATACTCTTTAACTATGATTAATCTGTTGTCAAGATATTTTCTAAGTTTAAACTCTTACATTAGGAGCCTGCATTTATGAAATCTTAGAAATTCTATTTCAGTTCTAAATGTGAAGAAACAATACTTGTCAATCTTTATTTTTAACAAAGAATGAGCCTGAAGAAGTCGTATGGCATTAAAAATTGATGCAATGTGTATTTATGAACGAAGCATTACAGAAAAATGCATTTGTTTCCAAGTAAAAAGTTAATATGGTAAGGTGTTGTAATAGGAGAAATCTCTTGAGGAAAGTTACATTTTTAACATGTGTTGAATACCTCTATTGTAGATTGCAGAGTTCATGTCAGGACATCTTACATAGCAAGAAAGTGCTTCTGCTGATCGTCCTGCTAAATATAACCGATTGCCTACTGGTTCTAGCTGGTCTTATCCTGGACATCAACTACATCAAAGGTAACACGGGGGACAACTTATACGTCCATATAAAAATAAGTTTGATAAATGTGCAATAAAACACAAGTATTATGATGTCAAAAATATTACATATTTATGATGAAATATTCTAAATTTAGAACTAGAAAGCTAAATATGTACATACGTTACTCATGTGAAATAATAGTAATATGGATGAAATGAGGCAAATGACCGGGAACGATTTTTAATATAAATTCTGCTTTATTTTGTCTAGAGTTTGAGAGTCATAAAACTGGTATTATTTTGTAGCCAAGAAAAGGCCAAACATATTTCATAGAGTTTGCATTATGCTTTAAAAAGGAACGCTTGCATCAAATTGAAATGCAAAAATTACATTTAAACGTTTATTTTCTCAAACCCATTCAAAGGTCATCAAAAACATTCAACAGCTATTTAAAACATTTGAACTGGACAGTGAAGATTAAGAATAGATCTTCATATACCCAGATCAGCTTTATAAGAAAAATGTTTAGGGCTTTTTTATGCTTGAATCAAAATTATAATAAGACGCTAGACTTTTTGCAATAAAAAGGTAAGGCTTAACCTGACTACCTATAAATTCTGAGGAGTATGAAATCAAGTTAATGTCTAAAAAAGAAATCAAACTTTTTCAAAAGTAATTTGTCGTGTTCTTATGTAATTATCAGCAAAAGTCTGATACTTTGTTGCAAAAAAATGTTTTAAAAATATTTGGTGAAAATGAGCAGTTATTTTAAACACTGCTTTTTTATAATTAAAACAAGAAAGAAAGAAAAGGGCTAAGACCATTTTCTGCAGTGCAATAATAATCGATAAAAACGTTTACTTTACAACATTTAGAAATTTTAAATATATGAGAATGAACCTTTTTAACGTTTACTCGTGAAGAAATTCGATTTAAGATTTTAATTCAGTGTCTTTATAAATTGTAAAAGGCATTTTATTCGGAATGGGATTTAAACATACCTACTATTTACTCATTTGCTGTCAGTGGAAAATCAATTTGATTTTTTGCTCATTTGTTACTATTATATTGTTTGATATGATTATTGCTCTTCTATATGTAATTTTCATTAATCTACACTTATATGTCATTCTCCATGTGATCTGTATATAATGTTAAAATTGGTTTGTATGTATATAAGTGAATGGTATGGAATCATAAGGACTGACCGCTCATATCGATTCTTTCTTTTTAATTTATGGTAATGATGCTATAAGAAGTAAGACTTCTGCAATAAAGAAGTGGAATTGAATATGCTATCACAAAAGTTCAAATAATATAATGCTTTGCACTCCCTTATTGAAGTCATGCAAAAATACGAAAATAGAAATAATTTTCAAAACAATTTATGTTTGCGAGTTCATCTTTGGTAATTATATAAATTGCATAGTATATTTTGAAATAAGGATATGATCAGCTGGAAATTTAAAAATGGTCACGCAGTTCTTCATTAATTTATTACTTTTAAACTAAGACATTTTTACATATTCATTAGAATATAACTGCTTTCATTGATAATGCAGCTGTAACATTTATATTTGCTTGCTCCTGCAAGTTCTTTTAAAAGTGATGTACACATATTTTACTCGATTTAACCTTTCCTCTAAACCATATAAAAATAATGTAAAAAGATATGTTCACAGTAATGTAAAACATGCAGTTGTGAATTGGCTATAACACGTATTACTTATATTGTGCTGGTTTTTTTTTACAGGAATGCTAAACGCAACCAAACAATTGACAAAGAAGTTTACTTTTGCATTAAAGGACAGATTTCCTCGTTTATTCGACCAGTTGAGTCCTTATGACATACACAAGTTTTATAACATATTACTGGATTTACCATTTAACTGCAACGAGCAAGTGACAGCTACATTACCAGTGACAAACTTCACGCATTCCGCTGTGTCATCAAATATTACCACGATATCAAATAGAAGTGAAACGAACATTGGAATATTCACAGTGGAGGACCTGCCATCATTTCTCACACGTCATCACGAAAAACATAAAATAGAAACCGATATCGCTCATGGTTTTCATAAAGCCAGCATAGCAATCTTAGCAGTCCTTTGCTCTTTGGTAGGTATGAGTGAGGGACATAAAACTGTTTAAGACAAGATTGTATTTCTCTGAACAAGCACCAACAACACTGCAAGAATTTTACATGTATTTCAAAATTTTAATATTCTCAACAAACTTTATTTTTTTACTTATTTTAGAGATTCTTTGATTAAATGCCTCAAGATAATATTAAAGTAAATAAAACGGGGTAAATAAGAAATTTGCTTTTTGCAGGTCCTTCTGAAAATATTCTGTTATGGGAAACAATTGATAAAGAGGAAGATGGAGGTACGAATCTGAAAAATAATATCTAAATTAACACGGCATATTAGTCAAAGCCTGTGTTAAACCAGATTTGACAGAAATCCGGAAATAACAGGAGATACATCAGTTATGTAATACAATTGAAGATCTTGCTTCTGGTTGAGAATTACACTATATGGTTATATCCCAGTTCTCTCATATAGCGATTATTTGATTGTTTTGTGTGGATTAAACACAATTTAAAACATTTGACACAACTTCCTGCAAGACCTAAATTTCCCATGAGGTTTTGATGTGGTTATTATTTTTAACATCTAAATCCAACAATTCAGATAATAAAATATAGAACATTAGCGTTTGTAGGCAGATTGGATTTAACATAAAAGAAAAAAATCCAAAGCAAAGAACAGTTAAACTAAATCGTATGGTTTCTTTTTAGATCAATATGCTTTGGGTTTATCTGCTAGTGATTTTAAACAACTGACTAGATATTACTTAATTTAGATTGTCGATAGTGAACCTTTTAAATTTTATATATCCACTCCAGTGGAGGTGAACTTATGCTTGCAGATCAGTTTAAAGTAATTCGTGTCCAGATTTGAATTAGATACTGTATATTTTGTTTTAACATAACAAACAGATACCACGAAGTATTTCACAAAAATATCAAACTACATAGAGTTCATACAAAAGATTTATCAATTTTTAATATCCTATCAATCATCAAAAGATTTTCTCTCTTAAAACTAATCAAACAATGCTTTCTATTTTGATAAAGTAAACACATGAAAAATGAATATATATCACTTTATAATAATGAATATCAAAATTGAAATCTGTGTGTGATGCCAAAGCAATCCATTATAGATTTCGCCACAATTACCCACCACAATACCTTATTCTTGACAACAGAAATACAGTTTGATTTATAATCTTAAATATATTTTTGTATAAGTTCAGATTCCTTAATAGATTACTTAGAGCAACGAATGAAAAACAATGTACATACAGTATTGGACGAGTATTATTAAATTTTAGCATATGTATTTGACACAAGGTCCTAAATTACATAGATAAAGAATTAGAATGAAATATTAAAGTAATTCATGTAATGTCAATGGGGCTCAGAAAGAAGCAGATTTGAATTAGTCTTCATGATTTTACTTATATTTTGTAATTTAAACACATAACAAACATTTTTTATCCAATATCATTGATTTTCGAACTCATTTTTGGGTATGACCCTTAGTATAAAGGCAGATTTATGATTCTTGTTTTTCAAAAATATCAAGTTTGGACTACAAGTAAAAGGTCAGATCTCATACAAAAGATTTATCAATTTTTAATATCCCATCAATCTTCGAAAGAATTTTTCTCTTAAAACATATCAAACAATGCTTTCTATTTTGATAAAGTAAACACATGAAAAATGATTATATTTCACTTTGTAATAATGAATATCAAAATTGTTAAATCTCTATCTGTGAATGCCAAAGTTGATTTATTATAGAAGACTTTCGCCACAAAAATACAGGGTACCCACCACAATTACTGTAAACGTTCTTAAAATCAGTGTAAAATACTCCCGATTGATGTCTATCAAATTTGCTATGTGTCTTAAATATCATACAACATCAAATATTATTTGTTGAAATTTGGCAAACAGTACATAAGTTGTTATAATTTTTTGTTGGCAAGGACGGTACCTATTTTTGATGCCCATTATATATTTTTTATCATTGAAATTTTCATTTGTCTATAAAACAGGCATTTGCTGTAAATGTCCTTTTCAGTGATATTTCTTTGATTTTTACTTTTACAGCAGCTTTAGCAATGAATGAAAAAGTGTCTCGAATGTAGCATAAAACAGTAATTGGTCACATAAACTGTTATAAATTCATTAAATAATTAGCATATGTATTTGACACAAGGTCCTAAATTACATAGATAAAGAATTAGAATGAAATATATGGAAATAACGAACAGTGTTCAATCTCAAATTATCAGAGGTGGGATCAGGTGCCATGGAGGAGTGAGTATCCCCTGCCGATTGGTCATCCCGCCGTGTGTTCCTTGTCATGATCGGTAAATAATGAAAAAATCCGTTGATAATTCAGTGTGTAAATAATGAACAAACAATTAATAGGAAAAAACGTCGGTCAGCATTTGACTTAATGATAAATTGTATTTAGTGACAAGGTCAGTGTAAACTGATTTATGTTCGTGTACTTTGTACTTTCAAATACTATATACAAGTTACATATGATAATTATTTGATCTTGAATACTGTTCGTTATCTCAATATGTTTCATTTCAGATGTTTGATGGCGTAATTGTGATAGCGTCTTTCATACTCGACATAGTCTTCATTAAGGGCCTAACTGTCTATCCCCTGGAGGAAACAGTTCAGATTCTTGCATTTCTAATGCCATGGAGGGTTATTCGAGTGGCCAACAGTGAGTGCTTTATATTACTGATTCCAACGTATTTTTGATATTATTTTAACTTGACATTTCTGTTTAAGGTGTCCAGGGAATGGGATGCATATAGGCAGTTTGAAAGGTCGCTTTCCTAGTTTGAAACAAAAGGGGATATATGTACTGTTAAAGTACAGTTTTTATTGAAAACTTTTTGAAAAAAGAGTAATCTTGCTGTTGCCTTCATTGAGAGGTTTAGTTACACGTTTTGCGACGAACTTGTACGGGTGACGTCATCAATTCTTCGAGATCATGACGTCAAATCCGACGTGTGGCTTCAAGTTTAGAACGTGTAATACACTGTCAACATGTACGACATAAACGAGTAAAGTTATCGATTAAATTCTTTGATTCTTGATTCAGTTGATTGGTTTTTAAGCAATAAAACAAGAACAACATCTAACTTTCTAATGAATCGTGATTCAATGATTCCATCAAAGTCTTTTTATCAATGAAAAGTTAAAACTGATACCATACAGCATGTTTATTTTGTACGCAGGATTCATTTGAAGCCCATGCACCCAATAAAATCCTCGGTGTTGATTTTTTTTCCTTAATATTATTTTTCATTCAGATTTATTTTATATTCTTTAATTTTTTCTTTCAAATAAGATATTTTCTATAAAATAACACCCACACCACAAGCACTTGACATAACAAAAATATAACCCCTCACCTAATAAGTTATGGGTAGTATGTTTTAAAAAAGAAAAATATATGTAATGTCAAGTGCTCGTGGAGATTGCATCTAATAATTGACTATTTTTCCCTTTTATAGTTAGACTTTGTAAAGAGCAAACAGGTAAAAGGAAAAAAAGGGGGGGTATCTGACATATATTTTGGTCTTAATAATGTACATGTATTGATGTATTAAATATAATTTCATGCATCATTTCTAATTGTCATTATTATTGAACCCTTACATTTTATTGCTTTCAAAAGGTTTTCTGTTGGGACCCCCCTCCTCCCAAAAGTTCGAAATGTTGTCGGGTTTTTTTTTTGGTCGATCGTCAATTTAATTATTTTATGATTGTTTCATTTTTTTAAAATTATACAAAAAAGCGTGTCCTGTAGACAAAATAATCAAAGCGCTTCACTGCAGAGAGATGAGAATACATCTAATAATTATTAATAATTATTATTGTTTATGATATCTATGTCTAGAATAAGTATAAATTTCAATTCGCTTTTGATTTTTCTAAATTAGAAATCATAATTAAAATGCCTTATAATTAATTTACTGTACTTTCCGTTCCCGAAAATGTGCATGCGTTCATACGTATAACTAAATCATATTATTGACGTTGACGTCAAATATAACGTGTACGTCAATAATACGCGTACACGTTGTTATGTCACTTGTAACTAAACCTCTTTAATATCCCACTGAACTCGAAATAAAAGACACCATAGACTCTGCTACATTTGTTTCATATATTTTGGTCCATGTAATTTTCTGACAAATGTAGTGATGTTACAGTCTAAGTTAAAACACCCTCGTTTATATTTTATTTATTGCATTTTACGAATCCATGATAGAAATAATGAAGTTATTTGCAAGCTATATTTGGATACAACTTATATAATTCGTTGAAGATATTCTGATAATAAAGGTTATATCAGATATAAAAAGCAGAGTTATCCTTCTTTCACTTAAGGTTTGGTAATGGCTGTTCTTGACCAAGCTCATCTTCAACTGAAAATGGTATATAAAGAGAAAAAATTAATAGAAGAAAATTTAGAAATAGCTGATGACAACAACAGATACAATAAAGTAGGTAAACCATTTTGTTTTTATGTCTGTTTAGTATACATAATTCTTGTATTCGTCTTTAAAGACAAAAAAAGTATACTTGATTATTTTAAGTGAGCTGCCAAGGTCCTTGTAATTGACTACTGAATGCTGATCGCTGTAAATATGTTTAGATATTTGAATTTCAGAATGAATACCTAAAAATAAAAAAAGAAAGCATTTTGTTTCTTTGATTTTATTAATTGAACTTTCTGTTACTTACAGGAAGTAGTTAATGCCTTACGACGTCTTTGTGAGACAGAAGGAATAGCAAGCTACAAAGTCCTGAAAACGATATGCACATGTGGTAAGAATATTAAGGTTCTAATATTCGTTTCTCTGAGTATCTAGTTATGTTGTAAATCTTATGATAAATAGAGATTTTACATGATTATTGCATAAGATAATATCAGAACAACTTGAAATGTATTTTTAAAGAAAGGGAAAATGGAAAACTTAAATGGCTTCTATTTTGTGATTACTATCTATTAAGAGAAAAAGTATTATATTTGTAATTAAAAGCAAAAATTATTGTGGGGTCGAAGATCTTTTTTGTATAAAAGCCTGTATATCATGAATTTAAAGATGATCACTGTGAATCTATAAGCGCAATATTGCTTATATATATCATTCACTTATTTTCTTTTCTTTGAATACATGTAAGATTGTTTTCTGGAAAAACGTTTGACTAACCAAAGGTCATGATATTGTTCACAGAATCACCGAGCAAAAAGAAGAAAAAGAATGGCAGCTTAAAGAAGAAAATAACAAGAAAAGTAAATTGTTTGGGTTCTGGTGTTGACCGAAGCTCTTGTCCGTATGGCAACATTCCGGATATGAATGAAGTGACTTTGGAACATCTACATCGCATTGCTAACAAAGCAAACTTTAAGTCCACGTTTGAGGACGTAAACGAGGCATCTGATTCGGATGCTGAAAGTGGATCTCTATTAGACAAAAACTACAACGAACCATAATTACTTGTATTCTTATGCAATTAAATCAAATCTTATTTATTTTCTTTATGTTTCAGAGAATGGTATATGAATGTACGTATTATGGCATGACAAACAATGCAATATGCGATCTTCTCTATTTCTTTTGTAAAACTTCCTATTTGTATTTATAATTTTTATTTTATTCTACTTTTTTCTATTTGTATTATACAATGTTTTTCATTTCTATATTAGTCGCGAAGTAAGGAGTTGATCCTTACGTCGCGATTTCGAATCCCACTGTGGGACGTGGAGACCGGTCCTTTGGATGAGACCGTATAAACCAAGGTCCCATGTCGCAGTAGGTGCTGGCACGAAAAAGATTCCTCCCTGTTCATTGGCCCTGAGTGCCGAGTATAGGACACAATTTGTAGCCCTCCACCGCCGAGTGGTGGCGTCTATCTATGAGTGAAAAAATTCTCGAGAGGGACGTTAAACAACATACAATCAATCAATCAATCATTTCTATATTAACTTGTCTTTTGTATTGGATAATTTGACATTTGTATTTTAAAATGTTTAAAGTCATACACGCTATATGAACGCCGACTTTTGTTTGAAACAAAATGATTAATGCTTTGAAACACATGAAGTGTAATGAAAAAATAATATTTTTCCACAAAATTTTACTATAGACGTCGTTATAATAACAAAACAATTAAGCAATATCTGGCAATTAAGAATTCAGTCCTTTCATGAATATTGATGAAGGAAGTGCGTAAACAGTAGGCCTATATATAAACACGCATGTCCGCGGGAAATCACAGACAACGAGGTATGTTGCATTTTGACAACAATTATTGATAAAAGGTTAATATGCGTCATAACAGAGTAGATGGTTGATACTGATTACATTAAAAGATAAGTATCATTAAGAGTAAGACGCTTGCCATCCACGTCAAAAGTGAATAGTATCTCAAACGGCCTACCTTGTTTTTTTACGCCATGTTTGTTTATCAATCTAAAAGTAGCGACGGCGTCACGTGGTGGATTTATTTTAAAATAGCCATTTCTCTCCTAGCAGGATTATAAATAATTATAATTTGATAACTTTATAACGCGTTTAATTTTAATTGCGTAATTTTCAGTATTTTTGTAACTTTTATTGATAAACAAAATATATCAATTTCCAATCTTATTTAAACTGGCGCAAGTTATATATATATTTTATATGTATATTTTAATCGGGTTCAATATTTTTCTATTTCGATTCTACAATTTTCCATTTAGATTGTAAAACTGAAGTTTATATTCTATACTTTCAATTTTATATTGTATAAAATCATTTGTATTATACAATTTTATATTTGTATTCTATATCTTTCATTTTTAATTTTTTATGACTATCTTTCCTATTTGTATGCGGTACTGTCTGATTTTTTTGAGATGATTTTGCACTTGTATTGTAATTAAGGGAATGTCTTTTTTTCGTTTACGAAGGATTTATTGGTCAAGATTTTAGGTTAAGTGTTCAAAAAAGGGAGATGTTTCGGGTGCCCAACACAACACATTCAAGTACCTTTTCCACAATACCGTTGTATCATGTTGTAAATTTTGAATTTACTAGGGGGAGGTAAATGCAAAATTTGCAACATGATAACTAGTTATCATGTTGTAATTTTTGCATTTACCTCCCCCTAGTAAATTCAAAATTTACAACATCATAGTTGGCTTACTCTCTAGAATACTTGTAGGATGTAGGGTACCACCAGTCATGATAAAATTATTCATTTTCCCACTTAATATTTCTAAGAATTTTTAGTAGATTATTTATTTGCCATCTACAAGGGTTCCCTTTCTAGAATCAAATGGGCGTCTCCTAAAATGCACACAAAAACATTGTTTGAGCACCCAGAACATTTCGCTTGTTCTATGCACAATAACTGGTTAAACTTAAACAATTAAATCCTTCGTAACAAAACAAATACGCAATATATTGATACAATGCAAATAAGAAATATCGCATACAAATAGGAAATGAAACAAACAAATAAGGAATTATAAAATTAAATGAAAAATTATAGAATACCCATGGAAAATAACGAAAAAAAATCAAAAAATAAATTATACAATACAATTGGAAAATTATACAATGCAAATGGAAAAGATCAATTATAGCCACGTTTGACATGCCATAAGTTTTCTTGATTTTTCTAAAATACATGTTCCTAAAATGAAGGATATTGAGATAACGAACAGTATTCAATATCAAAGTCCATAAAATAATAATAAAAAAAAAATAGGAGCAGAGCAAACACGGACCTCCAGAACATCAGAGGTGGGAACAGGTGCCATGGAGGAGTGAGCATCCCCTGCCGACCTGTCACGCCCGCCGTGTGCTCCTTGTCATGATCGGGAAATAAAGGAAAAATCCGTCGTCAATTCAGTTTAAATAATGGACTAACAATTAGTATGAAAAACGTCATTCAGCATTTGACTGAATGATAAATTGTATTTGCTGACAAGGTCATTGTATCGACCATAGGACTTATGAAATGATGTCTTTAAACGAGACTGCTGATATTTTGTTTCATCAACTTGTTTGTCAATAATTTATCTCGTTTTAGAAATTGTTCATACCTAGTGTTGAAGGTATATTGCTGCATACGTAAGGGAAGTCGACGATTGAAAAGTTAAAGTCATCAAATCTATCATAGAAACTGGTTGTTAGATTACCATTAATGTCTTTTTCAAGTAAAATATCCAAGTATGAAACAGATGTGTCAGACTCTGTGGTATATTTTATCTCAAGCTCACCGGGATATATCGTATCAACATTGGAATGGAAATACATTAAAGGATTGATGCAGGGAGAAATTCAGTACAAAGGGAAATGCTGGATTGGTATTGTTCTGAGATATTCCTTGATTACTATTCTTCGTAGGTTACTGTGGTTTCATCAATTTTCGTGGATTTTTTTTAAACAGACGTTTTCGAGGATACATAATTTTGTGGACAAAAGCATTTCCAATACTAATGAATAACAAATTTATTAATTCACTGAACATTGAATTTCGTGGGTCTGCTCAACAACGAAATCCTCGAAAATTGGTGCTCAACGAAAATTAATGAAACCACAGTATTATTTTAGGCTATATTGAAATGATTCCTTAAGTTTTTCTTCAATCATACATATGCAAAACAGTTTTGTATGTATTTGGAAATAAAACAAAATATTATAACTTATATGAAATTTGCTTCTGAACAAAATAAAGAGAGAAAAATCGTTTCGAAAAAGATAAATTCAAATTTGGAAATTAAAATTTTTGTGTGATTCTTCACTGAAATGGATTTTTAAAAAAGTGGAACACATACTCGAATCTGTCGCCGAGGCCTTACGTTGCACCAGGAACCAAAAAGAACCATGATGAACTACCGACTCGAATTTGTAATTATAGATCATTTAAAATGGGACTTTTGTAATTATAGATCATTTAAAATGGGACTTTTGTCAACCGTCACGTTTTATCGAGGACAAATGCTTAAGTAACCCATGTTCCTTATACATGTACCTAAAAGAAAACTAACAAAAGATCTGAAACGATACATTCATTAATATAAATATTCTTAATTACAAAAGGAGTCGTTCTTGCTTTCGAACACATATCAAGTTCATATTATTCAACTTTACGTCTGTGTTTCTATTTCTTAAAGTCATGAAGTGTTGTTTATTAATATTTTTATTCGAAATAAACTCTTGCTGCCTAAATATGAAATATTTGAAAAAAAAATATTCTCGTATATGCTCATATTTTTCCTCACACTACAGCCGTGATCCTGCTAGAGACGCCATAACTGGTGACGTCATATACAGTGTACTTAGCAATAAGGACTTAAATCACATTTTAGAAGCTAAAATTATGCGAACTCATATTACCCAAAGATTTTTTAAAAAATTCAAACGGATGTTGAAATATCACATTAAACGGTTATAAGATATGATTATCTATCCTTTTGACTTCAATCAATCAAAAGTGAAAATAATTGACTAAGCCATGAAACTTTTTTTAAAAAAAATGCTTTAATATGGTCGCTTAAACGAACTTGTAAAGAATCTTTTATTTATTCAAAATGCGTTAACATGATCCCAAATTAAGCACGTTGAAAAACATTTTCAAACAGCGAGATTTTTTAAGATGTATTGTAAGAGTTTCTTTCTAGAAAAAAAAACTGTTTTTCATTTCTTCTAGTTTAAATGTTCTTAATGCCTTTGAGTAAGATTACGAATGTTTCAAATCAAAGTGACAGTGCATGCACTAAAAAAATTACAAAATTATACGGATTTAATTTGATTTATTAAGTTTTGCATCATAATTAAAATTTTACAAAAAATATTTTTTCTATATCTATAATTAGATAATTAAAATTCAGAATGTGTCAGGAGGATAAAAATTGCATTTGCGATAAAAATAAGGACAAGTTATTAAATATTTTAAAAGAGACTTGGCTATATTTTTAAATGAAACAAAATCTAGAATTATTAAGGATATAAATTTGTCAGGTTTATTTTACAAGCGATGCAATCAGGAAATTGAATTAAATTTTTCGTGTACAGCGTATTTAAAACATTTCAAATATAATGTAACTTTTTAAAGCATGTTCAATTGAATTTTTTAAAAACAAAAATTCAGTTTCGACATCGTAAACATGCTAAATTTTTCTTAAATACGTAAATAATTGTAAATGCAGTTTTGAGATAACGAAGAGTTTTTAATGTCCACACAAACAATAAAAATCAGCAGTGCCAACACGGACCTCTAAAATATCAGAGATCGATCAGATCCTATGCAGGAGTAAGCATTCTTTGCTGATCGGTCACAGCCATCATGTGCTCCTTTTCTTGATAGGGGAAAATTCTGTAGAAAATTCAGTGTGTAAATAATTGCCGAACAGTTAGTATGGAAAATTTCCATTAACATTTGACTTAATGATAGAATGTATTTTAATGCAAGGTCATTGTATCGACCATTAAACTTTAAACAAAATTGTTCATAATCTTGTTTGAACATTTTTTTTGTTAATAGAACATGTCGCGTTTTAGGTATTGTTCGTCCGTATA